AGCAGTTTCCATCAGGTCATTATCATATTAGAAAGAGGAATGTAGAGAGTGACATAATGGTATTGCAGAATTAGAAGTACAAGTGACAGATGAAAGTGCTGGACTAGATGACACAATAGTGTATACTGATGGTTCTGTTCATCAGGTTGTAGGATCTGGCTGGCGATTTTCAGCTAGATTGAAGGGAAATATTTTGGCAGAAAAAAACTGAGCTTTTTATCTACAACTTCAAGCATGAGGATGGAGGTGAAGGCACTCACTGAAACTCTGAGGCAGACAGGAAAAAATAAAGTTACCAGAGGAATTACTGTGTCTGATTCTCAGTCAGTACTGCAGAAGGTTCAAAATGGACAAATGTGGCATGATTGGATACCAAGCATCAGTACGTCAACATTGCAGGAAATCACATGGTTACAACGTCAACATGGCAAGAACGGGCAAATGAAAGGAAGAAAACGATGTGTGTATAATAAGTGTGGTATGGGAACAGTTAGCATTTACACCTTAAGACATTTGCTGCCTAATGTGCTATGAAATAGACTTAAATCAGTCAATAATTCCATAGATCTTTTAAATGCTTACAAGAGTGTTCTAGTTTCCAATGTTCCATCTTCTTATAATGTTGCCATAATTTTACAACCGTGTTTTGTTTTTTAGTGTCCATATTAGTTAGTTAGTTAGTTAGTTAGTTGGGTTATCATCATTGCACTCCGGACATGTCCATAGGTGCTCAGATCCTCCCCTCAGTATGAATCCCAACGTCCGATGGCTAATAGTACCAGTTCTATGTTGATTAACAAATCTTCTGACGTGTCCGGTGTGCGTCTCGTTTTTTGCTGTGCCGATCTTAATTCCCAAGTCTGCCATTCTGGCGAGTGATGTGGATTCACTGCCACCAAAGTCCTCTATCCTTCCCATTTCTCTGAGGGCATTGATAATATCAGCATGATCCATAGGCCGACCGTCGGTAGTGATAGCGGATCCAGCCAGCCTGTCAGCTCTTTCATTTCCATCGACGCCTGCGTGTCCCGGAACAAAAATAAAGGTGACTCCTCGCACAGTGGACTTCTGAATTGATTCAAGCCATTGTCTTCGCGCTGAACCTGCCTGAACCCTCCGGATCATACTCATTGAATCACCGAGTATACATATGCGGGTGTATTTTTGTGTTTCAAGCCAGGCAAACGCTTGCGTCACTGCCATCACCTCCATCGTCATGCTGCTGGTTGTCATGGAGAAGGCGCCGTTGGCTTCTTTGACTGTTCTGCCCGCTGAGCGTGCTGTAAATGCCTATGCGCTTCTTCTTTGGCGTATAACGGATCCGTCTGTATAGATTAGTGCATCTGCTTCGTCTGAATTTTCACCGATGAGAGCGTTGACCTCTGCATTAACAGCAACAGGATTCTCTTCTCTACATCGCCTGTTGAGTGTGACAATACAGGAAAATGTACAAATAAACGCCTGAGGCACAGGTATCCATTCTGCACCAGGTATGATGTCGGTTAGGCTGCATATTTGCCTAATAACATCTTCTGCCCGACCTAGCCATGATTTTCCCCTCTTCAGTCTGTCGCCCTTTTCACTAAAAAGTTCTTGATGCAGTGGGTGTTTCTTATCAGCACATATTTTGAGGTATGCCCGAGCCCTCCACATCCTGATCCTTTGGTTCATTGTTGGAAAGTCAAGTAGATACCTCATTGCTCCACAGGATGTGTCTCTTGTACATCCCAAAATAATACGCATGGCTTCATTTTGCACCTTCTCGAGGCGTTCAATCTGGGAAGCACTGACAGTGAGGATGGCCAGAGCGTATTCAATGGGGGAAAGGACCAGACCGTAGAATAGAAGCACCAGCAGTCTTTGCTCGATATTGGAAGCAGCCATAATCCTCATTGCAGATAGACCTTTGCGTGCTTTTGTTATCGCATGGTCAACGTGTTCCCTGAATGACAAGCTGCGATCGAACCTCACCCCGAGAAACGTCATAACGTTGGTTCTGATCAATACATTATCACGCATTTTCACTTCTGGTAAGTCCGACTTGACAAGGTGATTGTTCAAAGAGAACCATGACACTGCTGCCTTCGAGGGATTGACATAGGCATTGGAACCATCACACCAGGCGGCAATTCGATCGAGTTCTTTGTGCATTGTGCTGGCGATCTCCTGTCTATCACGCCCTCGTCGATAAATCAAAATGTCATCAGCAAATGACAAAGTCCTTCCCTTTCCATTCAACTGCTGCTCAGTGATCATCACCGTATAAACGTTGAATAAGACTGGTGATAGCGGTGATCCCTGTGGCAAGCCTGGACATATCGTTTGCGGTTCTGAGGACCAGCTACCACATCTTAGTGCAATCTTTCTCTGGAACAGGACCGCAGCAATCCAGCGGATCAGAATAGGATTGACTTCTAGTTTAAGCAGTAATTGCATTAAATAATCATATGGTACTTTATTGTAGGCATCTTCTAAGTCCAACACTGCCGCACATGTCTCTTCTTTATTCTGAAATCCCTCGTACACATCGTAGGCGAAAACAGCAGCATTGGACCATGTCTCTTTCTTCAATCTGTACCCTCCAAGTGTTGATGGGAACTTATCATGTAGTTCTAAGTAGGTGGTCAATCTTTGTGCGACAATTTTTTCCAAAAGTTTGCCAACAGTATTCTGCATCGAGATGATTCTGTAGCCGCAGATCTTTGAGTGGTCTTTATTAGGCTTTGGTAGTGGAAACAAATAACTATGGAGCCATTCCTCTTGTATCTGGCCACTCTGGATGCTGATATTGAATTCCTTTGCCACGCTTTTCAAATCAGCATTCGACATCATCAGCATGTCATTGTATCGGATGCCGTCAGGGCCTGGAGCAGTGCTGCGCGATTTCTTGAGGCAAGTTCTTAAGGTGTCTGCAGTGATTGTGAAATCAGTGCCTAGCTCAGTGTTCTCGCACAGCATCGACAGTTTCATCTTAACCCCTATTCTTGCAGCTTCGTCTTTTTGGTCAGTTTGCTCCAAGTAGCGCGCAAGAAGGGTTTTTCCTTTATCAGCATCAGTTCTCTGCCATATCAGGTCTGTACCCTGAAAATCAGGGATACCCCTTGGTCGTGCGGCGCCGTGCATGCTCCGTTGAAGGCGCCAGAATGTCACAAGAGATCCCTCGGAGCAAACGCTCTTGCAGAATTCGTTCCATTTCGCTGTCTTGGCTTCTTTCACAATTAACTTGAAAGCCACTGTCCGCTTGTTGACCTCATCTTTCAGACTGATCAGGCGTTCAGAAAGTGATGGATCAATTTTCCTTGCCTTTTGCCATGCCTTGACAGCGTTCCTTTTTTCTAGCCACGCTATGTTGACTGCTTCATTCCACCATGGTGGCTGGGCCCATCTCTCCCGCCGTCTGCGATCTGCTCTTGTATTACGTCGTCTGATTTTGCTAATGGCATCTTGCCCTGTACGGTCATATATAAAAGCAGGCACATTGATTACATGACCTTTTTGTTGTTGCTCTTCTCCACCAAGACGACGCAAGGAAAGTGATCACTGTCATGGTATCCCAGTGTGCTCCACCTGCATCCTGGTGCAATGGAGGGAGACACTAGGGCCAGGTCAATTACGCTGTCAGAATCCCCTTGTCGGGTTGCCATTCGGGTAACCTTTCCGTCGTTCAAGCATACTAGATCGGCAGACACTAGAGCATCCTCCAGGTCTTCCCCCTGTTTATTGGTGATTACATTGCCCCACTGGTTTCCTCTGGCGTTGAAATCTCCGCAGTAAAGGACTTTCTTTTCCTCAGTCTGGAGCAAACTCTGCCATTTCGCTGTATCCACCTTTCCATTGCAGGCGTACACATTGACAATCACAAACTGGGCCGGGCCCATCACTCTGACTGCGTGTACTTGTAGGTCGTCATTATCCCACTTAGACATGTCCACCTCAGACACCAGTATGTGGTCACGAACAAGAATGAGCTGTCCGAGGTGCCGTCTATTGTAGAAGGATTGGAAGCCCGCAATTTTAACCATCTCGTCACCGAGGTGTGTTTCCGAGGTGTCCATATGTTTCTAATAAGTTATCTTTGTTTCAGTCTTTCAAAAGATATAGACCCAATTAAGGATGTCCTGCAGATTTCAGCATTCTTTTGCAATGATTTCAGGAAAATATTAGTGTGTGGAATTGTCCATGATTCACAGCCATTCTTAAAAAACAGTTATAAATTAACATGCAAGGATTTTTCTTTTCTAATCTCCAATTACAGGGAATTACTGCATAAACATTTAATAAAATGCAGTTTTTACCTCTCCTTCTGTTTCTATCCTCTTTAATATTTATTCCATCTGATGTTATAAACTGCACACTTAGACATGATCTGTTAAAATTAACTCACTTTAAAAAAAAATTATTTTTTTTAACTTTCACATCAACAGTCATCCCCACGTGGAATGCAATTTTTCCTTAACTGAAGCCCTACCCTGGCTTTTGCCAGGGGCCCTCAATATAGCTGGGCCATCAATATGGCCCAATGGTTAAAAGGGGTTTCTGGGACCTCTTCACAGATGATCCTCATCCACATGGTGGCACTTTGTGTTTCCAGGTGTGTATCGCTTGTGTGATGTCTTGGTGGGGTACAACGAACAAATGAATCGAACGAACGAGAGAGAGAGAGAGAGAGAGAGAGAGAGAGAGAGAGAGAGAGAGAGAGAGAGAGAGAGAGAGAGAGAGAGAGAGAGAGACAGAGAGAGAGAGAGAGGGGGAGAGAGAGAGAGAGAGAGGGGGAGAGAGAGACAGAGAGAGAGAGAGAGGGGGAGAGAGAGGGGGAGAGAGAGAAAGGGGGGGGGGGGGGGGGGGGGGGGCGGGCTCCAGCATATTAGAATTGCTCAAGCTTATGATGACAGGGACTGAGTGAACTAAGCTCAAAATCAATACCGTAGAGAACTGTTTGGAGCACAAATCATTCTCACAATTGTACAACACCATTTAAACAACCCAGTATAATATCTTACCTGAACATGTCTCTGTTTGAGAAGAGTTTGGTATCTGTTAGCCACTGGGTAGTTAATCTTTTCTCCATTGCTTATGCACTCAGCACGGAATCGCTTATCCAGCATAATGCTATTGAACAGGGTAAATATATAATTATAATGTAATAAATAATTTTGCAAGTTAAAAAAAAACTCATACTTTAAATAAAGCTCAATAAAGCTGAAAGATAACACATGAAAACATGTTTTAAACTACTGCACAGTTGACAGATTTTCATCATCGCACATCGAATCATCCAGTCCATAAGCGCACAGATCTCCTCTTCAGTATCTCCATCAGCGTGTAGTGGTTTATGACACCAGTTCTGTGTTGGTTTACTATTTTTCTTTGGGGCCCTGTGCAGCGCACTTGTCTAGCTTCACCCCTTTTAATGCTATGTTCAGGTAGTCTCGTCATTTTTGCAGATTCACGATCATTGCTTGATTCGTTTGATTGAGCTGCCTCTCTGAGGGCATTCAGTATATCAGCCCTGTCCATTGCTCGTCCATTTCCCACGTGAGCGTCACTTGCAAAGCTGTCAGCTCGCTCACTGCCCTTTACATCAGAATACCCCGGAACAAATATAAGGCTGATTTTTTTCAGCCTTGATCTATTCAGGGACTCCGTACATTGTCTTTGTATGCAACCCTTCTCGATCTTCTTGAGAATATTCATTGAGTCAGTGGGAACGCATGCCCGGGTGAAAGTCTGTGTTTCTAGCCAGGCTACTGCTTTAATTGTTGCCATGACCTCCACAGTCAAACTGCTTTACATTAAAGCGAAGGTGCTGCAGTCTTGTTTAACAGTTCTACCTGCAATATGAGCCATAAATTCCCACGAGCTCATGAAATATCGAATGACAGACCTGTCTGATCACATCACATCACTGATCAGAAGAATTCTCACTTATCAAGGCCTGCACTTTTGCTTCCACAACTATTGGGTTTTGTTATATGCATTCTGTGTTTAGCTTGATGCATACTTCAAAGGACGTATGACACTCTGGTGGTACACGTAACAATTCTTCCCCAAGTTTAATGTCCTCAAGAGAACAAATCTCTTGTATAAGATCCCCGGCCTGAACCATCCATGATTTTTCTCTCTTTAATTTGCTGCTTTTTCTTTTAATGATTTCACTGTGCAGTGAGTGTTGTGTGTCAGCACTGACTCAAAGGTAGGTGTGTGCTCAACAGATTCTTATTCTAGCTTCCACTGTTAGAAACCAAGGAGGCACAGCATTGCTCCGCATGCTTTATCTTATAATACAAGTATAATGTGCACAGTCTCGTTTTGTATCTTTTCTAGTCTCTCTAAATGAGTCTAGCTAGATTAAAGACCTACAAAATTTAAAAAAGGCATACCATCCAGCCAAATGCTTGTAGTAAGCAAAAATCTGATCACTCAGTTTATAGACAAACTGATCGAAGCATAAATTAACCTGAAATATAAAATACAAACAGGATAATACAAATTATCAAACATGTATATATATATATATATATATATATATATATATATATATATATATATATATATATATATATATATATATATATATATATATATATATATATATATATATATATATATATATATATATATATATATATATATATATATATGCTTGCACAATTAAATATTTTTAAAACTATTATTCTTATAAATAAGCCACCGTAGTGAGCTGGGAAAGTGGCTTTTATGGGGCAATGGCACCAACCGAAAGTTTTGGTTTTGCAGCTTCTCAGAGTGAAAAGGTTATGTATGTTGGCTTGAAGTTTTTACTAGATTTTACTACATTATGTCAGTGTGCTGTTGTATTCTTGTAATTAATAGCTTTAAATGATGCATGCTCTGATGTTACCTGTATTTCTGCATCATCGCTGAAACAGTATGAGTTACAGGGTGCTAAAATTGGCTTGTTTTGTCATGGCATATTAAAAGATAGCAATGTCATGCATTTATTGTAGCCTAAACTTGTTCAGTACTTGAACAGTCATATTAGTTATAATTAACTCAAGATGCATTACAGGCTGATTTTTTATGTGCATATTTAGATCTAGCTTCAGAATTAGTCAGTAGTATTTAGAAATAAAATGGAAGAAAAAAAACAGGTCCAATTAGTGATAGATAAAAAGTCTTAGCGAGACAAAGTACAAACCAATGGTTGTGTGAATCATGGAAATCAATCTGGCTGGGAATTCTCATTAGTCAGTCACTGGTGAGCAAAAGGAAGCCTACTGGTCTGCAATCTTAAATATGAAAATGGAAGTGGCTACAATCACTAAATCTTAGAGGTGGCTGGCAGATAACTTAATCATGAGAGCAATCCAGTCTCTGACTGTGAGAATTAGGCATCTGGGTTTTGCTAGAGGGTCTGGCCGGCTCACTACACTCAGAGGAAAGGCAAGACGACTTTTAACCAGATTGTGACGGGTACCATCAGTATTGGAACTCTGCGCTGGCTGCTGAAGATGAGAACGGAGCATGCATGGGAATGCCCTGAGTGCTGTGATGTCAATTCTTGACTCAACTCAACTCAACAAACCACAGTCTCTGATTCACGGTCCACAACATGTAAAGTTAAAAATGGACAGGAGTGGCTCATAATGACCTAACAGATACAATGAGAGATTATATGGAGTGCAAGATAATGAACGAGTACCAGTTATTAGAACATTCAAGATGGACAAGGGTATACGGTCTTAAGACCATGAATGATTTTTGAGAAAATTTAAAAAAAAAAAAACAACAGTATATTTTTACTTGTAATTTTGTTTCAGTTTCAATGATTGACATGACAGACATCTAATGGAAGGAATTTTCTTGTCAGAAGCGGGGTGCTGCTGGGGTGATCTGCATTTACACCTTACAACATTTGTTATGTCTTGGTTGGCTCTGTATACTTGGGTTACAACTTGTTTTTGTTTAGTTCAATACCTTATCACTACATCTCAGAAGATCATCTACAAGAGCAAGAGGACGGCCACAGAAAAATGGATCAACAACATTAAGGACATTCTACACCTTTAAGGCATAACAATAGCCAGTGTCAGCCAGCGTGCACTGGATCACAAATCAACGACCCTTAACAGCAGAAGTGGTTTATGATAATGATGATGAATATCTTATCATTCCAGTCAAAAATGGACAATAGGCATGATCACTGTTTTTAGTCATAGCAAATTTTTTTGCTTCCAACAGACTGTGGCCATTGCATTTTCCTCCATTTGTAGGCTGAGCTGAGTGCACGGTGAGACACTGTGAGCTGCGGATTTCATTTAGAATGTCTTTTGACTGTCACCAACATAGTGTTGTGAACTGTAGATTCAGCAAATTGTGTGTGGCCTGTTGCCACAGAACTGATTAAAATTGACTGCATGTGCAACTGCTGATCTCACATATGTAACTGCACATCTGATGGCTGCCTCATGCTTTTAATACATGTGTACAAGCTAGTGGATATGCTGGAACTGCAGTCTTGTGTAAATTTATCCATAAAGGACAGTGATGGACATTCTGTGTTTGTTTTTTCCGCTGACACAGGAGTGAAGTGACTATGAGACAAGACATGTGCTATAAAGCTAAAGCTAAGGTTACCAGATTGTCAGGTCCGGGCTCTGAACAGATATTCCATCTTTCATAACAGACTGGTAGAGACTTATCTCAAACCCAGACTGGTAGAGATTTGTCTCCAGCCCAGACTGGTAGAGACTTTTCTCCAGCCCAGACTGGTAGAGACTTTTCTCCAGCCCAGACTGGTAGAGACTTTTCTCCAGCACAGACTGGTAGAGACTTTTCTCAAACCCAGACTGGTAAAGACTTTTCTCCAGCCCAGACTGGTAGAGACTTGCCTCCAGCCTAGACTGGTAGAGACTTTTCTCCAGCCCAGACTGGTAGAGATTTGTCTCCAGCCTAGACTGGTGGAGACTTTTGTAAAACCCAGACTGGTAGAGACTTTTCTCCAGCCCAGACTGGTAGAGACTTGCCTCCAGCCTAGACTGGTAGAGACTTTTCTCCAGCCCAGACTGGTAGAGATTTGTCTCCAGCCTAGACTGGTGGAGACTTTTCTCAAACCCAGACTGGTAGAGATTTGTCTCCAGCCCAGACTGGTAGAGACTTTTCTCCAGCCCAGACTGGTAGAGACTTTTCTCCAGCCCAGACTGGTAGAGACTTTTCTCCAGCCCAGACTGGTAGAGACTTTTCTTAAACCCAGACTGGTAGAGACTTTTCTCCAGCCCAGACTGGTAGAGACTTGCCTCCAGCCTAGACTGGTAGAGACTTTTCTCCAGCCCAGACTGGTAGAGATTTGTCTCCAGCCTAGACTGGTGGAGACTTTTCTAAAACCCAGACTGGTAGAGACTTTTCTCCAGCCCAGACTGGTAGAGACTTTTCTCCAGCCCAGACTGGTAGAGACTTGCCTCCAGCCTAGACTGGTAGAGACTTTTCTCCAGCCCAGACTGGTAGAGACTTTTCTCCAGCCTAGACTGGTGGAGACTTTTCTCAAACCCAGACTGGTAGAGACTTGCCTCCAGCCCAGACTGGTAGAGACTTTTCTCCAGCCCAGACTGGTAGAGATTTGTCTCCAGCCTAGACTGGTGGAGACTTTTCTCAAACCCAGACTGGTAGAGACTTTTCTCAAACCCAGACTGGTAGAGACTTTTCTCCAGCCCAGACGGGTAGAGACTTTTCTCAAACCCAGACTGGTAGAGACTTTTCTTAAACCCAGACTGGTAGAGACTTTTCTCAAACCCAGACTGGTAGAGACTTTTCTCCAGCCCAGATTGGTGGAGACTTTTCTCCAGCCCAGACTGGTAGAGACTTTTCTCCAGCCCAGACTGGTAGAGACTCGCCTCCAGCCTAGACTGGTAGAGACTTTTCTCCAGCCCAGACTGGTAGAGACTTTTCTCCAGCCCAGACTGGTAGAGATTTGTCTCCAGACTAGACTGGTGGAGACTTTTCTCAAACCCAGACTGGTAGAGACTTTTCTCAAACCCAGACTGGTAGAGACTTTTCTCCAGCCCAGACTGGTAGAGACTTTTCTCCAGCCCAGACTGGTAGAGACTTTTCTCCAGCCCAGACTGGTAGAGACTTTTCTCAAACCTAGACTGGTAGAGACTTTTCTCCAGCCCAGACTGGTAGAGACTTTTCTCCAGCCCAGACTGGTAGAGACTTTTCTCCAGCCCAGACTGGTAGAGACTTTTCTCAAACACAGACTGGTAGAGACTTTCCTCCAGCCCAGACTGGTAGAGACTTTTCTCCAGCCCAGACTGGTAGAGATTTGTCTCCAGCCCAGACTGGTAGAGATTTGTCTCCAGCCCAGACTGGTAGAGATTTGTCTCAAACCCAGACTGGTAGATACTTTTCTCCAGCCCAGACTGGTAGAGACTTTTCTCCACCCCAGACTGGTAGAGACTTTTCTCCAGCCCAGACTGGTAGAGACTTTTCTCAAACCCAGACTGGTTGAGACTTTTCACCAGCCCAGACTGGTAGAGACTCTTCTCCAGCCCAGACTGGTAGAGACTTTTCTCCAGCCCAGACTGGTAGAGACTTTTCTCCAGCCCAGACTGGTAGAGACTTTTCTCCAGCCCAGACTGGTAGAGACTTTTCTCAAACCCAGACTGGTAGAGACTTTTCTCCAGCCCAGACTGGTAGAGACTTTTCTCCAGCCCCAGTATCAATGTAAATTCTCCACTGAGACTGTGATGCAAAACTCTATTTTCTGTCTGCAAAAACAGATACCAGCAGAATGTGCACATTGTGTACATTGTTAAAATCAAGAAAATGTTAATAGTGACACTGTAAGATTTTGTTATCTTTATGTATTTCTGTAGTATATGCCTGAAAAGATATATGTTAGGCAATAATCTTCTAGTAATCTGGTTGTGTTTTATGTTTTGTTTGTTTAAATCTCAGCGTATAATAGGAAAACATGTTTTGAAAGGAAAGGGTATAATCCAAGCTTTTGTGGATATGTTATTATATCTCATTATCTCCATCTTCTTCATGATCTTGTGGTCTACTCCCATTTAACTTGTTTGTGTACAGTTTTTGTCTCCGTTATCTTCCATTCTATTAAGAACATAGCACATTTTAAAAATGTTGTCTAAAATCTGAGAAAAAAAAAGTAAAATAATATGCATAGGTCTGTCTAAAAATGTAAAACAAAAGAATTTTTTGACAGTTATGTCAAGTTTAAAGCAGTTACTGAATTGAACAATGAATTAAGTCTCTCTGCTACTGACCTCTGCTTCTACTTCATCATACAAGAACTGTTTCTTGAATCTCATCAATGCGTACTGAGCACTGTCATTATACAAGTCCAATGGATATAGAATGTACCTGGAAAGTTAATTTTCTATTTTAAACCATAATTTCAATAACACATATGATAAATATTTTTAACAGAATAGAGCCGAACACTGTATGATTAATGAAAATTTCTGAAATAATATGAAAAATATAAAACAGATCCCAATTAGGTCTGTTTGCTAAATAACTAAACAGTCATTGAGTTATAGCGACTATTATGAAATTACAGCAATAAAAACAGATATTATGTTCAATGCCATCCCTATGCTTAAAACAGTGAATATCACCTGTAATAGATCTTTAACATTTTCTGTCCTACATTTTCAGTGCACTCAGGCATGGTGTTCAAGTACTGACGCTGGGACCAATAACATGTCGACACTGTCTTTGTATTATATTCCTGTCCTCACTCTTCCCTCCAATACATTCTTTAACAAAGAACTGTGTCTACTTAAATATTCAAAGTAGATATTTTCTTTCTACAATGTGAATATGAAGACACATAAGTGATAAACCAGGTGTGAAAGTTGTTGGGGAAGGGAAGGGGGCAAAATATAAATGTGTGTTAGAAAAATAAAGTGAAATAAATAAACAGCATGACCATCAAACATGAAAAGGCAACGCAGCTATGCAGGTCATTTTGGGTTGTGCCCTAGACACCCCGGTGGTGTGTATGCGATACAACCTTGGTTTGCTGACTGTTGCAGTGGTGACAATAATAGAGAATAAAATAGAAGAAATGGGCAGAGGGACCCAGATCAACAAGAGGGAGACAAATGCAGAAAGAGGGACATTCAGATAGAGAGATGGGTTGCCCGGGTGTCATCACTGTGGGAGTGAGGGGGAATGGCAAATTTGCTTTTAAAATTCTACATATATATATTATGTGTGTGAGAGAGTGGTGGACAGGAAATGTTTTGCATTAGGAACCACATGACCTTCTGCTACTCCAATTGAAGGTATTGAGAGAGACAGAGAGACAGAGGCAAACAGAAATACAGGAAGGCAGTGACAGAGAGGCAAAGAGTGAGGGGCAGGTAGAACAAATAGTGAGGGGGCAGTTAGCGAGACTGACACAGATTAAACAACATGCTTATAGTCAGTTCAAATACTAGGGCTACTAACAAATATCACCTATCAAAGACAAAACTGACATCAAAAGAAAAAAGAGAAGAAAAAAAAAAACATAAGGCTCATGCTGAATCTCCCATCCTCTGCCCCAACCATAACAACTTATTGTGTACTGGACACAGTTACTAGTAAAATACGGTTATGGAGCAACACATTTAGTAAACAAGAAAAAGAAATTGCAAAAAGGGATTTGGGGGGGGGGGGGGGAACAGGAAAGGAGAGAGCAAACAAAGAGAATGAGAAGATGAGGACAGGGTGGGGGGGGGGGGGGGGAGAGAGTGCAGGAGACAGATTGAGAGAACAGAGTAAGCATAGATAAAGAAGGGACAGGATGAGATAGAGGACGGAAAAAGGAAAAGAGAGGCAGAAGATGAAAAAAAAATTGAAGGAGAAAGAGCTGTGAGAGAAGAGAAGATAATGGGAGGTAGAACACAGCGACAAATACACTGTAGAATGGGCTAAGACCTCTGTCAGAAGACAAAGCTGGAGATGGTAATGAATGAGCTATGCCTAAAATATAACTGGGAAATCCAAGTGAAATCATCACTTGCAAGCCCTACCCTCTCCTAATTTAAATGTGGTCCAGAAACAAGGCAGGCGTGCAAGCTGCCCTCTCCTGTCACATACTGGCTATCAGTGTGTGTCTTCAATCAGTCCATTTCTTACAACACCGCTCCCCATTCCCCCCCACCTTTCCTCCAATACAAACCATCCGCACCCCGCAAACCAAACAATGAACATAAAACTGATCAACTGCACACCTCACCCCCCTTTCCATACTAAACGACCATAAACGTTTTAAATGAAAGTAGCCAAATGGTAAAAAATAGCCTTACTTAGGCACATCTACCTATTTCAGCTGAAAACGGCATCCAGGCATGCTGTACATTTACCGGAAACGATCATAAACATTTAAAATGAAAGTAGCCTAACTGCCAAAAATCCCTGATCTTCTGACCATAGTTTGTTTTACTTCAAATTCTCCCACTGTGTTGGGTTAAATTCTAGGTACATATGTCTTTTCCAAGGTCAATATGTCTTTTCCCGGGTAAAGATCCATGCTCCTGGTCTGGGCCGCAATTTCCACGAAAAAATACAGATTCCCGGTCGGCTACGAACCCTGCACTGCATATAATGATGATGTAATGATGATACTCACTCCATAAGGGATGGCTCCTTTGTTTCAAGAATATGATCTGTCAGAATCCAAGGCATGGACATTTCAATAGGGAACTGAAACAAATTATGGCTCAAATTGATCATACTTTGTTACTTTGCTTTAAATGAAACATCAAAAGAAGAATGGAAAGTAGTAGATTTATTCATACTGCAAAACTACTATATTTAAAAGTTATAATTAATGTTTACACAAATCAACAAATAAATAAAAATATTATATATTTCCAACCTTTACTGGGGAGTCTGTCTATTTAAAGGCTAGTAGAGTTAAACGTATACATCTTGCGGAAGGAAAGCTATCACTGGATCATAACTAACAAAACTAGTATAATTCAAGACGAGATGGAAGGGATCTAGTCAAAAAAAAATACTGACTAAAATACAATAATATATTCAGGTTGTGAGAAACAAGAAAGAGGAGCAGGACTAGTGTTTGACAAAATAACAGCTAAATCAACTAAAGGGTACTGGAGTATACTGGATAGAGTCATCCTGGTCAAACTTACAGGCAAGCTAATTTACATAAATATCATACAAGTACAGTAGAACCTCGCTTAACGAGCACCTCTCATAACGAGCAAAACAAATTGTTAAAAAAATGACTTGCTCAACGAGCGACGTTTTGCATAACGAGTGGCAAGGAGACGGGAAGTCCCGGATTGTGCCCATGTTATATCAGTCTGTGTTTAGCACTCGTTCCAGTAGCATCGTTTAGTACCCTTTAGTTGATTTAGCTGTTATTTCGTGTGTTGCTTGTGATTACACATGTTCTCAAACTTGTGTTATATTGTGATATGTGTACATGAATCCTCCATGCCTACAAGATGACCTCTCTGAAGAATTCAAGTTCATCAAGATCCAGTTTCTGCCTTCCACCACCACTCCGTTACTCCAGCCCGTGGACCAGCAAGTTATTTCTAACTTTAAGAAGCTCTACACTAAAGCACTCTTCGAGTATTGTTTTCAGGTGACTGAAGGGACCAACCTCGCTCTCAGAGAGCTTTGGCAAAATCACTTCCACATCGTTGCCTGCCTCAAGAGGATCGACAAGCCGGGGGAAGGGGTTACCAAGAGAACCTTAACTTCTGCTTGGAAGAAGCTTTGGCCGGAGAGCTTTGTTGATTTTTGACTTTGAGCGGTTCGAGACAGTACCTGTGGAACATGTAGTCGACGAGATTGTGACTTTGGCCACTATCATGGGGCTGTAGGTGAATAACAGTGATATCGAAAAGCTTGTGGAAGAGCTTATGGAATTGTATTGTGTTTCACAGCAAGAAGTTTTGGAGGAAAGTTTGTCAGAGGAGGAGAAATAAGAAAAATGCTGAAAGCATGTGAAACTGTTGCATCTTACATTGAGAAGCATCACCCTAATAATAAAGTGGCTATGCGCGCTGAAAATGTATATAATGATAATGCTGTGTCGCATTTTCGTCAAATTTTGAAGTCTGCAAAACAAATGTCTCTGGACATCTTTCAATTAGAAAAATAATTAGCTACGTATCATAATTATTTCGACTTTTTTTTCTTTTTGCAAATCGAATTCGCATTTCAGGTGGGTTGGTTCCGCATTTGAAGAAAGGGTGAAGATGATTCACTCTCCTTACCAATATGTATATAATTTTTTTTTAAATAAATGTTATACATAGCATTTTGTGAGTATGTTTTTCCACATAGAAGGCATTATTGTTTTTTACATTAATTTATGTGAGAAAAGTTTCGCATAACGAGTGTTTTGCTTAACAAGTATGGTTCTGGAACGAATTATGCTCGTTAAGCGAGGTTCCACTGTACAGTGGAATAACTATCAGTTTTATAAACTAAAATTTACTGTAAAATACCTGTATACGTTTTCCCATGGTCAGCTCCAAGAAAAACTCTCTAAACCAGAGCTGGGACAAGTCACAGCAGTTGAAAAGTGATGCTAAAGAGAAAGAAAAAACTGCTGACTGTTAAAAGCAAGTGAAAATATCAGTGCTTCTGAATAAAACTACTTGGTATAAACATTTTGCAATATTTTCATATCATATGCACTGTACAAGAAATGCTGAAATTAGTAATGTGTTTTTAACACTTTATTCCCCCCCCCCCCCCCCCCCCCCCCCCCCCCCCCCCCCCCCCCCCCCCCCACCCCAAATGAAAATATTAAGTGTGTTATCTTCAATTGGTTGGTTTGTTTCCTGGAAGAATATTAATTTTAAGTCTGCTACACTAGCATTCAGATTGTCTGAGTCATGAAATAAACTTCTGGTTAAGTGTGAATGGTGTCAAAGACTTTTTTCCTGATACAGTGAACTGTGCGCAGCGGTTTCCTTCCACTCCCCAAGCACAAAAACCAGATGTGCAAGAAGAATATGGAAACTTCACAGTTGTGAAGAAGCATATTAGGATGTAACCAGGTTGTGATTCAGCACTACATAGATATCAACTGACAGAATTAAGCCTAAGTTTTCTCCACAAGGTTTTAAAATGTCACTGTCAGCAGACTCCAATCCAGTACCCACAGGGCTGCTTTAAATACAGGAGATTAACATGAACATCTGTACATCTCTGCATGACACATGATGCTGTTGACCAGACAACTATATGTAAAATATGTTCATCTGTCACATTGACATGTAATCCCTTACATTTAGGTCTTGGATGTGCTACTTTATGACTAATAAAGGTTTGCAATTCTCTGATGAACTAGACAACGCAGAATAAACGCAGAATAAACGCAGAAAATGCATAGTTCAAGCCAGAGTTCAAGAGGCTGGGGACAATTCTGGCTAGTGTGTTGGTAAATTTCACTTCAGATAATAGATGATAGTCTTTACTGACCTTGAAGAGGTAAACAAAATGGTGATTTACTGTGCTCTGCTTAGTTTTAGCCTAGGGTCTAATGATATCATGTGGGTAATTTATACTTGCTTGCTGCGTGAATTTTTTGTTCAGTCTCTTGGATTGTGTCTGCTTCTTTCAGTGAAATCCAGTGGTTTATTGTTCTTTATGGGCGTCTACTTTTGTCAGCAGCAATACACAATGCAGAAATGTTATGTCACTGAGTTCTTGTCAGGCAGTTGTTCATTTAGATATAGTATGGTTGTTCTTGTCAGGAGACTTTAATGATCAATCAATCAAGGCTGGAGAACCAACATGCAGTGTACAGCATTTGTACAATTTCTGGTCTCAACCAGGAGTGTTTTCAGTGCTCAGCAATAGAAGCTGTTGTTACTAACAGATTTAACCCCCACCACCACAGATAACATTGCATACCTCACCAATATATCACACATAAGACATGTGAGGGGGATCCTAACCTCTATGTTACAAACTAACTTAGCACAGTGCAGTGAAGGCTACAGTTAACAGTCTTCTATAATGACTGATCTTACAGATTATCAAACAGATGAAAACAAAATGCATAATTTATAGAGCTAAAATTAATGGAGAACTGAATAACAACTCACTAACCATTGAAGTTAAGCAAGTAATTCCAGAAGAACGATTTTCTGTGGAATTCTTCTATAACGGCCACATGCTGCTCATCCATTTCCTTACGCATGCTCTTCTTCCCACCACTTCTCTCATCCACCAGAGACTCTAGCATTGTTCGCACCATGTACAACTATAGAAACAAATAACACATTTGTCATCAAAACACAAAGCTTAATCGTGACAAATTTACTGTATGAAAGTATTAGAGATCCCACATTCCCACCAACACATATATCAGCGTACCTCAGTCAATACAGGGAGTCCCCCTGGCGGAGCGGCTAGACGCTCGCCGCGGATTGGAGGGTATGGGTTCGGTCCCTGGAGGAGCCGGACTTTTTTCAAACATGACCTTGGCTCCAACGTCGACCCAGCCTTGAGTGGGCACCAGGGGCAGTCCCGGGAAGTAGAGGCAGCCGGCGTGATGCTGACAATCAGCAGATAGTATTTTACAGAATATGAGCAACTTAACAGGGAGATCAAGCTAGTCAATCTAACTTCCCAGGAAACTTTATGGTTCTATTTTTCAGCCTCCACTAATTAGTGAGCACAGGTATTTTCCTGCCCTCAACCACAAACCACACCAAGTTGGGAATGGGAGGAAAAAGGAACAAGAGATAGATGGGGAAGGGGGGCAGGAGGGAGATGGAGAAGGCAGGAGAATGACACAGTGACAGAATACGGAGCAAGGATATACAGAGAGGGGAGAAGGGAGAGGGGAGACAGCAGGGAAAGAGAGAGAAGAGAGGAAATAAAGACAAGGAGGGAGAGTAGGAAGAAAGCTGGAAGAGAATAAGCAGCAGAAAGAGAAGATGGGAGAGAGTAATTAAAGATAGAAGGGGAGAAGGAGAGCAGTACAGATGAAGGGGGAGGAGAGTGGTTTGAAAGATAGAAGAAAAAATGGATGATGGGAAAGGGGGAAAGAGAAGAATAAAAGAGGTAAAGAACAGAGTAAAACTATATAGAGAGGTAAGGACAGAGTAAGACTATATAGAGAGGGAAGGAAGAGACAGGAAGAGAGGAGGGGGGACAGGAGGAATAGGCGTGAAGGAGAGAGATGGGGGACAGGGAAAGTTGGCAAAAAAGAGAAAAAGAAAAAAAAGACAAAGTTTGGGGTGCAAGGTAGAAGAGTGAGAGGGAGGAGGAGAGACAGAAGATGGGAGACATAGAGAAGGTGAAAGAAGAACAGTCAGTGAAGAGAGAATGGAAGATAGCAATGATTGAAAGAGGGAAGGTTATAAATACTGACAGACAGACAAAGAACAAAGATACAGTGACAACATTGATCACTAAACACGCTAAATTACATGAACTGCACCAAGAGAGAGAGAGAGAGAGAGTGGGGGAGAGGGGGGGAATGTTATAAACGTAAGCGGTGCAAAAAATAGAATTAGGAAATCCAACCGACATCATGTGTCCATTCACAACCTTCCTACAGTATAAATCTCCTTTTACTGTTGATTTCCTGATTACATTAAAAGGATTATGGTACCTGTATGGAGTTCCCGATTTATTTAGGGCTCACTAGAAGCCCTGCCTTGCTTTTGCCACTGAATGCAGCTTGTCCCATGTCCACCCCATCTTCATAACCTAACTTTCTAGCTCAATAATCCATGCAATTTTTGGTCTGCCTGTATTTGTATGCCCCGTTGGCGTCTTTTCTTCACCTCCTAACTCACTGGATTTTGTTTAGTTCTCTCCAAAGCTCTCCATAAGTGATTCTATCATACTATTTAATTCCCTCCAGTCTGAGCAGAAAAAGCAAGGAGTGAGACAAGAGTGTGTTTTGTCACTGTATCTCTTCTCTCTCTCTCTATAGTGAAATAATAATGAGGGAGCTCAAGGATAGACCAGGAATACTAGCTGAAGGTTATAATATAAACAATCTTCGTTATGCAGATGATACAGTATTATTAACTGAAAATGCAGAAGACCTGCAGAAACAATTGACCTACTTGAGAATATAAAGAAGGTACTCTCCTTGATTATCAAGAAAATAGAAACAATGTTTATATCAAAGAAGAAGATAACTCCAAAATGTGACACAGCAATAGAAAGGAAAGTGCTTACCAAGTCAATAAATTCAAGTATTTGGGATCATTCCAGACATCAGATGGACAATGTGTGACAGAAATTAGGAGCAGAATTTACCAGGCAAAGGGGGCCCTTTCAGAAGATGAAAAGTATTTTATGTAATAAATCCCTCTCATTAAACAACAGAAAATGAGTATTGAAATGTCATATAACTGTTGTATGGTAGTGAATCTTGGAATGTGAGCAACTATATTTCTACTACAACATTCTGTGAGCTCAGAGCAGTTAGGGGAAAAATTACATCATTAAAAAGGATTCAAATATCAAACACAAGTTGCCATGGTTCGAAAAACAAACCCATGGAATAATCGAAATGACAACAAAAGCTGGAAACAACTGAAAGAGTGCTCATTTTTAAATTAAGGTGATGCTTACTTTTTGAAACTTAACTGTATACTATTAATTTCTACGTTCTGGTATGGTATATAGTTTAACATTGAAGACCTCAGATCGAAAAAAATGCTGTCAAACTTACTGTGCACTCAATGGTTGCTATGGAAACCAAGATAAACAATGGTCAGTTTGATTTCTTCAGACAGGTCTAAAACCACCATTTTTGTATGTACAGGCTCAATTTTGTTTGGGTATATTTATACATTCATAGCCCCTTTACACAAGTACAAAACGTTTTTATGATATCACTTTTCATTTTTTTCTACTAAATTTTTAAAATTTAGCAAATACTTTTAGACAATTTTTGTGGCTTTCTGACTGATGCACAAAAACCCATCCTTAGTTTCACAAATGCTATTGTATCTGCATAAGTAATACAATGTTAAATAAATGAACAAAGTTTCATTATAATCAGACGAGCAGTTTCTAAAAACAATATACTGTGAGCCGAAAAACTGCCAAAATGAGAACACCAAGGAAAAAGGAATTTTTGCACGTTTTATTTTACTAATAAAATTATTTTCATAATTTAACATTTTACACAGAAAAAAGTTTCTGATATTACATGATCATTAGAACAATCCTGCTGTAAGTGCAGGACCTCCCTCTTGGGGGCATGTAGTTCATCTTTCCTCTTCAATTTGGCAGTTCGTACACTGTTGTGTCTCTTAGTTTACTTTTTCTTGCTATTTCTAACTCTCTTCTGCATCCTAGATGCTCCTAGTCTCTTCATATGCAGGCTTGCAGAAAATCCAAAAAACTGGGCAGTGTCTTGAGAAGCTACAGCACCAAAGTTGAACTCTCTTGCTGCAGTTACTACTGCAAACTGAACGCGCTTGCGTGAGGCAAACTTGTCTTTAGTACAGCGAGCCCAGATCAGGCTGTGTAATCACTCATTTGAATTCTGAATTTTTCCTGAAACACATCTGCTAAGTAGTTTAGGGTCAGCCTTTCATAAATTGGCAAAAGATACTTCTGCAGCTTGTCACAGTTGAGCTATGTGTGTAACATCTTGTCATGAGAACCCGGGGACTGGTGCTTAGCCAGGGCAGACTGAACAAAAACACCAAGATTGCTCTCCACTTGGGCACATTTCATGGCGTGAAGTTTTGTCTGTTGAAAAACAGGTGAAGTTTTGTCTGTTGAAAAACAGTGATGCAGTGAAGCCATAACACTGTTCCTCATGGACTCTACACTTGTGTTGTTTCTTATCGCTTTGTTGTAAAAATTGTCAGCAACATTACGGAGTGCTGTTCCAAGGCATTTACTAACATGGCTGATGCATTCCTCTTTGTCTATGTGAATGATCCCCCCATAAGGTTTGATCTTGGTAAGCTCCGCAAATGTTTTGGCATCACCATCAGAAAGTACTGATGTATAACGAAGCTTATGGCGGGCCACAGCACTTGTACAGCCTCCACCTCCAGCAGATTTTGTGAAATTATTATTACAGTGGTTTCACACACCTGACAATAGGTGGACATAACATGCACATCTATGCAAAGTCCAGTAAGTAAATCCACTGTATGGACAACCCCAATGTAGGATGTGTGGCCTCTTGTCAACCAAGTGCCATCAAAGCTTACAGTAATATCCAGCACATCATTGTCATGTAGAGTGATGACTGACTCCTGTGCATTTACTTGCCGAACATACTTCATGGCTTAAGAGAAAACCATGTCCTCCAGATCTTCTAACTTTGAATTTAATTTAACTGTTGATGGCAAAAGATCTATCGCCATCATTACTTCTTGAAGCCAGTACCTTACAGTAACCACTTCTTCACAACGCGAGCGGTAAACTTCTGCATGCACAGCTAATCCTTGAGTTTTCTTGTTGTCAGTTTTCAAAATAAGACCACTATTTTTACATAGTGGACAACAGAATGTTTTGATCAATTTATCAATTTCACAAAAGTCAACTACTTCTCTGTTCTCCAGCTGTTGTTTTTTATGTCCACTATTATCAACAGAAATGCACATGCTGCTAGATGAGGTCATATATTCATACATATTTCTCTTAAACTGGCTGCAGGTTTTTTCTGCAAGAGTGTCACTTCCACAACTTGGAGAACTAGAACATGATGGTACAGAATCACTGACTGCCAAAATCCCAACGACGCTGGGAACAAGCATGTCAGATGTGTAGCATTCTAAATTTTCTGTAATGTTAATGATGGTCTGGTAGACCTATCTTTGCTTACAAACATTTGCCAATTGTAGATTTTGAGCTTTCTGATGTTGATCCGCTAAGTAGAGTTTAAATTTCTTGGAACGAGGTATTTTTCGATTCACAGTTGTCATGCCATTTCTGGGTAAACAATCCACCAGAGCGGCCATCTTTAAGAATCGGACACCAACGTAATTGGTTTCAGCCAGCGAGAATCGCCTGTAGAGACTGAGATCGTGTTTACGTCCATAAATGGGAGTTTCTGGACATTTATAGAGTTCAATGAATCGGCGGTGAATGGAAAACATAAAATTCCACAATCGGCGAATCCGGCTGAATAGTGTAGGGGATTTCATTCCGGTTTCAATGACACATAATAAATACAGCCAACTCCTTGTGCATATAGTGTTGCCAAGGGCGAAACTTCGCTAATTTCGTAATAAATTTTAATGAACAAATAATTTCACAGCTAGGGTTAGCTCAGTAAAATATTAATATTGCATTAAAATAACCTATTTTAGGCAAAACAAATACTAAATCTGACAGAAGACATACTAGGTGTGTAAAAACACACTATTCCAAAAAATGTTGTCCTGGCCCAAATTTGATGTTTTGAACATGGCCTTAAGGACAAATGATGAAAATGGAAAATATCAATTTATAATTTTCTAAAGCAACAGGATGGACATTTCCCTCCTAAGCCTTCATCAGCAGGAAGAAAAAAAAAAGAATAAAAGATAACAGGACATTATTAAAGTATATTTGCAAATATGATTAAACCTTTCAGCTTTTTTTTTTCATGATATTTGTACAGCAGTTTATTACATTTACAGCCTTACCAACATCCAACTAAACCCACTAAAAAAGTGGACTAAGGATCAGTAATTTAGTTTAGAAAAAGAGGCACATGAACAAACTGTTGCTCACCTGTGTGGATGAAGGACCAACATTTCTGCGTGGTACTTTAATGTGAAAACCCTCAGTAGGATCTTTTTTCCCCAACAGTGCAGGGTCATCTGTTGGCTCTGTGCCTCTGTACCAGTCAACGCAAGTATCACGGACAGACATGATGATGCTGCAAAATGATTGCAGATATAACATTTCTATGTATATATTTACAATGTTCACATGTCTTTCAATAACATTAGTTTCAATCACTATTTCTGTGTGCGTGCATGGGGGCATGCGTGTTTGCGCATAAATGCATGCAGTTTTTGCGCATGTGCTTCTATGCTGGCAAAATGTATAAAAAACATTATTAAGTTTTTCAGTACCAAACAGCTGTTACTTCAATAATGGTAAGTTAATTCACTTGGATCATACTCATGTGTGTGTGTATGTGTGTGTGTGTGTGTGTACCCGCGCACATATGCAAGTTTCAATTCATCATATAGCTTGTCCTTTACGGAATGTTGCTCCAGCCTGCCTGAAGGCATCTCGGTCCCTCTTCAGCTCTCTTGCCTCATGCACTTTCCCGCCTAAGGTGTCTTTTATGTCCAGTGACACACTTCATGCTTATCAGTCCCTCATACCTGGTATCTGCCCTCCATTAAAATTCACTCTAAGCATCTACAACATCTTATATGGCCAAAGTATTTTAGTTTTTAAGACAAGTTGCTGTTTATGAGCCAGTCTACCCTGATGTTCAGATAATTTTAATGTTAATATTTCTTTTCTTCTCTGTCCATGTTATTTTTCAAATTTTTCTGTAGCAATTCAGTTCAAAAGCTTCAATTATCTTCCTTAATGATTTCAAGACAGTCAGTGACTTATACCCATATGCTCAAAAGCCATAATAGTCTAGAGAATGTGTAGCATGTCAGCTCAAAAGCCATGACATGGCAACTGACTGATTGTTTTTCCTCTCCAGATAGCTACCTGAAGGTTAGGTCACTCCTGAGACTTGAAGAGGATGGCAGACGAACAAGGCAAATCCCTGATACCCTGTTCAAAATCCAAAGAAGTTGTAACTGGGGCACCCATAACGGTTAGAATTTCTTTTTTTTTAAGCTATAATGTTCTTCATTAAAGATTGTGAGGCTGTTCAAAACTCACGCCAGTATGTTGCTACAGAGAAGATATGTGATCTCAAAATTTTTACTATGGATAAAGGCTGTCATTTCCACTGCTTTACTGCTCAGTCATCATTCTCTTCTCCAGTTTATGTCTATGAACTGTCTGACCTTGGGGCTTCACCATCAAATCTATAAGTTCATCATTTGGCTTCCACAAAAGGTTTCTTGGGACAGTAATGTTCCCCTTGTCATCAGTCTTTAGGAACCTTTTAGACTGCCAGGACAAGTGAGTGCTATGATCAGTGATCTGTAGTACTCTTATTAACAGAGGGCACCCTAGAGGTGTATACTTATCTTGGTACTCTGTGCCCCTAACTGTGTTAGCATCCTCTACCATATGGAGGTGCGACTGGGATTTTCTCTTCAGTCTTGAGTTGAGTTCAGAACCGACATAACAGCACTTGGGACATTTCCACAAGTACCACACTACCATCTACAGCAGCCAGACAGGGTTCATAGCCAAATTTACCAATCAATTTCAAGGCTTTTCAAGGTCTTTTTCAAGGTCTCCTTAGTTTTTTTCAAGGTTGTCTCGGTGTAATACTGAAACAAGATTTTTGCCCAGTGCACACCCCACCCACTTCTGATAGTACCAGCTGCAGTCTGATTGTATGTCCATCTTGCCTTTCCCCTCGATGCTAATGTCGGCCAGATCCTCAGTCACTCCCCACTGCACCATTCTCTTTAGACTTTGATGAATTATTTGTGCTCTGGCACTATTCACTCACTCTAAAAGGGCCCTGACCACACCTAGCTTGTACTGCGCAAATTTTTCACCAGGCAGTGCAGAAAGAACTTACGTTTCTGCCATGACCAAAATGTTTGAATGCCCTGGAGTAAATATCTATCCAAAGGTTGCTAACTACCCAGAATATCTGGTTATGCTTGCAATTTTGCATCGAGCATACTTGTCTCCACCTTTCTCAGCAAGCTTGTGAGTGTTACAATCACAACTTGTGTGTGAAGCTAGTTTTCGAGCTTGTGGAAGGATTTAGTGACTGCCTCCACCTCAAATTAGATGTGGAATTATGAGCTAGGCTTTGCTGCACTTAGGGCCATCCACTCACTTATGATATGAACCCCATACACTTCTGTCTCTCAACACAGAGCTATGTGTATAGATAACAATATCACCTGGGCGGGAATTGTCATGAATCAGATGTTCAGCCTACCCCAAAGGTGTCTCCACCTTGCCATGGCAGGGAATGCCTGAGTTTTTAAATAATCCTGAGCGCTATATGAGCGGCAACATAGTTACTAGCAGGGTCTCCCAAGCTAAACAGGTCAAAGGAAAAAGAACAGATAAATAGAAATACCCTGGTCCTCCAGTCTAAGAGCTACAGAACTATAACATTTTCAGTTTTCTGTTGCTCTGAAAAGAAAAACGGTTTAATAAGGTTACATAACAGATTAGGTTACATAACAGACTAGGGTATCTAAGTGCTCTCCGCTTGGCAGGTGTTGGGAAACCTGTGTATTTTCAATTGTTCAGAGCAGAAGATATGTGTCACATTTTCCTGGGGACTATACAATAAATACGCATTCTTCTAAGTGAATAAAGGACCTCTTCCCTACATTGGGGCATGCAGTGCTAGTACCAGATTTTTTTTTAGACCAATCAGCACTTGTTGAGATGTTGTTAAAATCATGCCAGCTGCCTACACATCCAGGAAAATCTCTTGGTACCAAGTGTTTAGCTTGGCTGACCTCGGAGCCCAGGTCAGTTGTAAAAATATGCCACTGTGGATTTCAAATGTATCATGAATGAGGCTGCATTACTGTGCCACTGCACTATTGCTGCTTCCCAAAATGCAATTTTATTTGAAAAATATCAGTAATGTTATTACATAAATGTAGAAAAAAATACTGACACTCTTATAATTTCGCTTTTCTTTTTGGTTGCCCTGCGCAAAGGTTCTCTCAAAAAATGCTGTACAAACTCCTGCAGTTCTGCATAAATGTGTCGTCGAATTGCATCCATAAACACAGTTTCCATTCTAGCCATTAGAAGCTGCAGCCCTTTTATCATTGCAATGACTTCAATCAGAGCAAACTTTTCATCTCTGCTGTAATTATAGCGTGTGGCCTGTTAATGGTCAGAGAAACAACTTTGTAAATATACCACAAATTATTATGAAATTGCATATGCACAAATTTTTTATTTTGTCTTTTACATGTTTCATTACCTTTACAATTTTTCCTACTTGTTTGGTGCTACAGCTTTTTTAAATTTTATAGCATGATATGAAAATATTATATGACATTATTTTTAAATTAAAAATAAATATTTAATTCTTGAACTGACTTAACAGTCTAACATGGATGTCTCTGTGAGATGAAATCATAGCCAGTGTGAGTCAGTTTACATTCTATCTTCCTTGCCTTCACATTTGCTCCAAAAAATATAAACACTATCAATAAACATCATAGTTTATCACAAACCTTCCAGGCTGCCTGCCATACGGGGCAGCCATGAAGTATGTAGGAGCAATAATTTTTCCTGGATGATGATAAGTTGTTACCTAAGTCTACATACCATGTTTGGAATGTGAATATTATTAAATTGTGTGTGTGTTAAGGTCATAGTTTTAAAAACCACATTAACATATTTTCTCACAACATTTGACATTTTCGTATTGCTATTTTTTGCTTCATTGCAAAAGGTAACCTTTGCTAGGGTAATTCTAATTTTTACTGACCTCTATTTATCCTAGGATGTAACTGCATTGACATTTTTTTAAATGCAATATTTGTGCCTTTCGGTTGACACGTGTATGTACATACACGTTTTTTTCTCTACAGCACACATTGCACTAGATGTCATGACTGTCCCATCATTGTTGTATCAATGTATTTGTTTATTAATGTTTGCGATATTCATATTTTTTGATTTCTTACATTTTTATTTAACTCTAATTATAGTTCTCACTGTATGAATGCAGTGTCTACTAAACACTAGAGTTGATTTGAGTCTACAATTGACATCACAGCACTGGAGCATTTCCATGTGTGCTCTGTCCTCATCTTCAGCAGCCAGCGCAAAGTTCTAATACTGATGGCACCGGTCACAATCTGGTAATATGTCCGTCTTGCCTTGCCCCAGAGTGTAGTCAGCCGGCCAGACCCTCTGGTTACACCTAGGTGCCTCATTCTCTCCAGGCCATAATAATCTTCTTTCTCTACTGATTCCGTTGCTTGTTCCCAAAGGACCCTGACCACATCTGCTTTGTCCTACATCAGTTCCCCACCCAGTGGTGCAGATCCAGCCAATTTGTCTATTCACACCGGCATGGCCAGGAGAAGAGATCCAAAGTATGCTCCTTACCTGTGACCTTTCCAGTGAAGCTTGCCACTCAGCTTGAAGCATCCTTGTCTTTACCTTTCTCAGCAGGCTTTCAGAGTCTGTTGCAATTATGACATGTGTATGTATCTTGTTCTCCAACAATGGAGAGCTGCAGGGTGTTCTTTGTCTGCAGCTACTTAGAGGTATGATTTAGCCTCCAGCACCTTTATACTAAACACTAGATTAACTGCTCACTGACAACAGTCAATAAAATACAGTATGAGCAGGCATGTCGTAAGAGGCGACTAAAGGTAAAGTTGGGCTTGAGGTTGGCTACCTCATCCTGTTAAAACAATAGCCACAAAAACCGATCAACCATGGATAAGTCAAAAAGAGAAGCAAAAAAAACCCAGCCACCAAGATGAGGGGAGGCTCTTCAAGTAGAAGAAGTATGACACGGTGTGGAGAAAGCCGTAAGGAGTCCGGATCATTGACGTAGCTCCTCTCAGCTAGGAAAACCTCCAGAATTAGCACCTGGAATGTTAGAACTCTCTATGATATAGGGAGAACAATGGAAGTAGCAAGGGAAATAAAACATTATAGAATTAGTATTTTAGGGTTATGTTAAACTAGATGGACTGGGGTGGGGAAAGTATTCTAAATTGAGGGGAAACTATTTTGTTCTCAGGACACAGAGGAAAATTCGCCCAACACAGAAGGGGTGGCCCTGATGCTATCGAAAAAAAACAACAGACAGGGCACTAATAGAATGGGAAGTGGTGAGTCCCAGAAAAATAAGAGCATCATTTAGAACAGCGAAACAGAAGGTGAACATGTCAGTAATACAGTGTTATGCACCAACAAATGATAAAGATGCATCTGCTAAGGAAGAATTTTACATGCAGCTTCAAAATATTATAATGAAAGAAAGCGCATTTTAAAAATTTTGGTGGGTGACCTGAATGCTAAAATGGCATCAGACAACACAGGTTATGAAGAATGAAAATGGAGAATTGTTTTCAAACTTTTGTGCAGGAAACCAGTATGTTTTTGGTGGAAGTATTTTTCCCCATAAAAGAATACACAAAAACATGGGAATCACCAGACTATAAGACAACTAATCAAATTGATCACCTATGTATTAACAAAAAGTTTAGATCATCCCTTTATGATGTTAGGGCTTTCAGAGGTGCCGATGTATTTACTGACCATTTCCTGGTGGTAAGTAAAATCAAGTTGAAACTTAAAAGATATATAACACCTTATAATCATAGAAACCAATATAATGTAGGTTATCTCAGGGATAAAGAAGTTAAGGAACAGTTCTCAGTTGGTCTATAATAAGTACCAGGTGTTGCAGCAGTCAGCTGAAGATGTCAGCACAGAAGTCTGCTGGGATCAGATCAAAGGAATCTGGAATGAATCTTGTGTAGAAGTTCTTGGCAAGAAAGAACAGAAACATAAAGCATGGATAACACCAGAAACCATTAAATTTATTGAAAAAAGGAAAAGTAAAAAGGCAGACTTAAACAATAGCAAAACTTGAGCTGCTAAAGCTAGAGCTCAGGATAAATACAAAGAAGCCAATAAGGAAGTTAGGAGGCGAATAAGAGCAGATGAAGTGAATTATTTAAATGATCTAGCACAAGAAGCGGAGACAGTAGCAGCAAAAGGAAACCTCAGAGAACTTTACAGTATCACAAGAAAATTAGTAGGTAAATATAGTCAGCCAACTGGATCAATCGAAAATAGTCAAGGAAAGGTACTTACTAACACTAAAGATCAAATGGACAGATGGGTTGAATTTTTGAAATGATTCTAATTAGACCAAGTCCAGAGGTTTCCCCAGATATCCAGCCTTTAGAAATGGAACTGGATATCAACTGTGAGAGACCATTTAAAGAGGAAATTAGAAAAGCTATCAATCTTCTCAAGGAAGGAAAGGCAGCAGGCCCAGATGGTATCCCAGCTGAAGCCATTAGGGCCAACATAAACAAATCAACTGAATAGCCACATAAATTATTTAGTAAAGTCTGGGAGACCAAAGAAATACCAGCAGACTGGAGAGAAGGTTATCTTGTGAAACTGCCCAAAAAAGGTGATCTACAGGAATGTGAAAACTATAGAGGAATTATGTTGCTGTCAGTTCCTGGAAAAATATTAAGTAGAATTATTTAAGAAAGATTAAAAGATGCTATTGATAAAAAGCTAAGAGATGAACAGGCAGGTTTTTGGTCAAACAGATTCTGTACTGACCAGATAGCCACATTACATATTATAACAGAGCAAAGCATTGAACCGAACCCACCACTTTACATTGGATTTATAGACTATGAAAAAGCATTTGACAGCACAGATAGGGAATCTCTCTGGAAATTGATGGGGCACTATGGAATCCCACATAAAATTATTAACTTAGTAAAGGCATGAAATGTCGAGTTCTTCATGAATGAAAGCTAACAGATACATTTGAAATAAATACAGGTGTGCGACAGGGATGTCTTTTGTAGCCTCTCTTTTTTTTTAACTGGCTATAGACTGGATTATGAAAACAGTAACTGTTATTAACACCAAGAATGGAACTCAGTGGACCCCTACAAAACAGCTTGATGATCTGGACTTCGCTTATGACATTTCTCTTCTGTCCCATTCAAGGAATCAGATGCAAGATAAATTAAATATACTTGATGCGAGATAACAGCAGCTTGGTCTAAAAATCCATAACAGGAAAATAGCATAACTAGAATGTCTTTGCATTGAAACCCACAGTGACATAGGAATAAAGAAAGGCCAAAAAAACTATTTGTTTCTGAATGCTTACTTTTTCATAGGCTTCATCAGTCTCCGGACAGTCTTTGTTGGCATGATGATCTG